TAACTGACCAAAGGGATATCCCATACCATATGATGACATGCTCAGCAATAAAACCTGGGGGAAGGAGGAGGAAGTGGGAATGTTCAGAGTGATGCCGTTTGTCTTCCCGAATAACTGTTACATGTGATGAAAGCCTTGCTTTCCTAGAGATGAATGAACACCCACCTGCCGATGCGAAGTGGTGAATTATTTCCGTGTTTTTCTTTGTTTGCATGCGTGGCTTTTGCTTTACCTGTTGAACTGTCTTTATCTCAACCCATGATTCTTCTCACTTTTCCCCTCTGCTTCCCTCTCCCATCCCACTGAGGGGGAAGGGGCAAGTGGCTCTGTGGAGCTGAGCTGCCTGCTGGGGTTAAACCACAACAAAACCACTTTCCTTTGTTTGTTTAATTATATTCTGGAATGAACAATGACTACTATTAATTTGCTCAGTCAACATCAGTAGATCAGATGTGGCAACCTGGGATCAGCCTATGTCAAACAAATAATTCATAAACATATTCTACTTTCTCTTGGAGAAGCAGACGGTATAACTTGCCTGTATACAAAAAAAATCTTCCTTAAAATTAAATTAGATGCTTGATCATTTGCCACAACTTCTAAATTTTATTTGCATATACAAACATAAATTATCTAGTTACATGACTATACTTCCAGATATATTCACCCATAATTCTAGTGGGGAATATAACAGGGAAAAGTAGTATGTATTAATGACTACAATTCATCATTAAGAATGCTCATGTCCCATTAGCTTCATGTGTTTAACATGATGTACTGAATCAAGGACCAGTCCATAGCCTCTGCAGAACAGGCTGTATGTAACTATTAAGCACACAGATTGTGATAATCTTCAAGTTCTGAATTAGGACCCCAAGAAACACCAGACACTGAGCAAAGATAGGCAGACACAGAACTGCTTCTAGTCAAATTGCTTAATCAATGATAACACATATTTACGTATTCTTATCAAAATCATTTGAACTAACGATACATACATATTCTCAGAGAATCACAGTAGAAATGGATACTGTCAGAATGGAGACAAATTAATCATGAAGAAAGAATTTTAAATTGCACATTTTTAATTATACTCATTATCCTTTCAGAAGACAAAAACCTGCAAATACCTTTGCATGGAATTATGAGCTTTCAAGATCTGGATCCTTTTCAATAAATCATTACTAGTCTTTCCCCAACTTTAGCAAAAATGAGAGAAAGGGAAAAAATGAAAAATATATGAATTTGCATTTAGGAAAAGAAAAAAACTCAGAGAATAATCTGACCATCTTCATATTTGTCTGAAGGAATATCTACTTCAGAAGAGATAAATATGGTAGATGAAGCCTAAATGAAACAGAAAAGCAAAGAAAGAAACATACTTGAAAATAAAGAAAAAAAGTAAGAATTATCAGAAAAAAAAAAACAACCCCAGAATCAAACTTTCAAAACAGAACTTTAAACAGGAAAAGGTCTTTTTGTTAAATAAATAAAAAAAACAGTGAATGGAAAAGAATAAAGGAGCAATAATAATTTGAACTGATACAGTCTTCATGTACTGATCCAAACTTAACATAGTCTAGAGGTCTGGCCTCAAAACTAAAATAATAGCTACAAAAAATATAGCGATAAAGTCATTCTAAATCTATGCAGTATGATAAATGTGTCACTGGACAGGGAATAGGAATAATTAGTGTCACAATTGTTAGGAACAGAAAGCTTGAGCTGGAATATTGTGTACAACTGGTCACTCGTGTTCAAACTGGAGCAGGAATAGACAAGAAAAAATGTATACAGGACAAACAAGCACAAATGGATAATAAACTCAGCTTGAAAATCTGATTATTTGTAGCTACCAGAGCAGTAAAGTCAGTTCTGTCTTTATATCACAATACATCCAGCTAATGGACTACATAAAATTGTTTTGAGTATAAAAAAAAAAAAAAAAAAAAAAAAAAAAAAAGAGTTCTACTCTCTATGAATCTAAAATTATCAATACAATCCCCCAAATCCCCTGAATTATAAAATTAAACAGTATTTTTTAGATAAATTATGCCTCCTTTGATTATAGAATGACTCAAAATTTTTGAGGTATGCTCAGAATGAAGAAGCTGGAGCTCCACCTAAAATTGAACACAAAGGCTTTAATCTTCAAATAAAGTAGACTAAGGTGATAAAGCCTGGGGACAATATTATAATTAAGTTGAAAATAATAATGGAATATTTAGTTAAGTTTTGTTGAAATATTTCAGAATTTATTTGAATTGGATGAAGTTAGAACATCTTAACATCCCATACAAAGAAACTGTATAACTGATTTCAAATTTATTTCAGTGTTTTCATGAACTAATTTCTTCTCTTTTTTTTTTTCCTGCACTGCTGTTCAGTGTTCCATGTACTCGCTTAATGGAAAAAGTAATTTGTAAATAATCATAACTTGCTTCCTTCTCCATAAGCTTCCTTCTTTCTTTCACTAAAAGAGAATAATACTTCTTTTAATAAAAAATATTTAGACATAATTGCAATTTTCAGATCATGCCCCTTTGGGAACATGGCATTACAAAATGACCACTTTGGGTGTCTTATGTTTAAAGGAAAAGGGAAGTTTCTTTTGAAAAGCCTTATCTGAAGTTCTGAAACACAGATGTTCTGCTGAATCAGAAGTGTACACAAAAGGCATATGGCAGCAGTGAAAAAAAAGACGCAGTATAATTCCAATTTGCTTCCCATCAAACCCAGACTTGACACCTACAGTCTAAGGAAGCAAAGAGCTGTGTCTTCCTATCATAACTCTGCTCCTAAGACAAACCAAATAAACTCCTACTATGGGAACTAGCTCCACAGAGAAGCCGCAATCCACTGAAAAATGAAGGTTAACTCAGAGAGAAGGGATTTGAAAGGGTTATCAGAAGCGCCTTTGCACACTTACAACACATAATTTATCATATTCTTTACTTTCTGCTGTTTCATTGTTTTTCATTTTCCAGTGCTAAAGTCTGTATCTTCACTTAAGACCAGATGGAAAACTTTTCAACATTGAAAGGCTAAGAATTCTAAGCAAAATCAAAACCGATTTGAAACAAGATTTCAGTTTAAAACTCTTCATAAGGAAAATAAGGATTTTTAGCCTACAGCCCACAAGTTGGAAAGACACTGCCAGCAAAAGCTTGTACTGAATGTCAGTTACTATAGAAGTGAGGGATAGAAAGAGTAGTGGTTGAGAAAGCAGGAAGCAAAGAAAATGAAGAGGCAAGCTTGACGGGCCTCAAGAGATAATATTTTTTTTATTTCCCGTTGTGAAGATTATTGTCCTATAGCAAATCACAACATTGAAGGACACACAGTATCTTCCCCAGCTGTTTATATCACTGGCTTTCTTACACACGATCAACTAAGCAGCAGTCTATATAGTTTCATGCAAGCATTTTTGAACAAGTTTTAATAAGGTTAAAACATGCTAACTCAACTGATTCAACAATTATGAACTGTATTCCCAGTTCATAATTTCTAAATCCCATTTGGTAGATTGGAATGCGTTCCTCTGGAATATGAAACTGAGTTAAATGTTGACTAGCAGTCAAGCAGAAATCAAAATATGCAAATTTCCACATATCTAAATTTCTTAACAGCTCTCACCTATTTAGCAATACCTAAATACTAATAGCAATTAAATAAAACTTAAAAAGAAAATAGTAATACTAATAGTAATAGTATTAAATATGGGGATAATACACTTGAAATTTCTTTTTTCATGACTCATTGCTTTTTAGTTTCCTTTTATTTCTCTGAAAGAAAAGAATTCCAGATGAAAGTGAGCTATAACAATAATCTAGGATACTAAGTAAACTATAAAATTTGCTAGTTTTAGAGCTGCCTTTTTATGTTCTCTTTCTTAGCAGAAACTTACACTCCATATAATCTCCATTGAACAATATAGTTTTGCCACATTAAATAGGGGCTTTTTTCCACCAGAACTTCAACAACTTTCAAACAAACCACTGCCTCTTCATTTATAACTCTCTTCACACTCTTTGGAATATATTTTATCAGTGGTTATAAACAATTATTCACCTTTCTGCTTAGACGTCATCATGTCCATGTTTCAGCAGCTGGAGGGCAATACTTCCTGATTTCTCATGCTTCTTAGGATAGGAAAATGTTGTGCCTATTTTAAACTTTTAAATAGTGAAATTGGACCAGGCATATTTAACTGAATATGTTTCAAATAATCAGTTTTGCTGTAGTCTGAAAATGTCAATACAGTTGAATTAAAAACAAGTACATAGACAATTCTTGCTCTTACACACTGGGTAGTCTGAAGCCTTTATATTCAAGTATCAGTTCTTACCTGGGGAGGTCTACTGATGCAGATCGATTTATTTAAGTGAGCAAAAACTGCAGGATTAAAATTCTTGTCAATAAGTCACTTTATTCAACTTCATACAATTAATGATAACTCCACTATGTAAATTGTTGACTTTACATTGCCTGGACATCTACTATCAATAGCTTTGCAGGCAGAAACTCAACCATCTCTTGCAGCATCATGTTAAACATATGAAGATAATTTTCAAATCCATCTGTTTAACACAACTGCAGACATACTATACTTTGTTCCTGTTACAGGCAGCAGCAAAGAGCAAACAAGGTACCTTTAGATAATATCCAGCTATATTCATCAGGGACCAAATGCCATTGCATTAATTAAGATCACAAAAAATGTAAGTAATCCATATCAGGACATTTCCTGCTTAAAGACTTTACCATTCACAAAACATCAATACTGATTTATAAACATAGCATGCAAGTCAGAAAGGATCATGCATAACTCAAAAGATGAAAAAATAGCAAACAGAAAGAGTAAATAGCTATAACATCAAAGGGTTTCACACACTGAAGCAATGCAATCAATGGCAAACACTACATTTTTAAAAATAAATTTAACACCTCTGAAGTTCATCTGAGCATGCCACTGTCATGAAATGCAACTTTTCACTCACCAAAGTAGAGTTATGTGAAGCATCACCTGAGACCTCGGGTGTTCTTGTGCTGTTTGGAAGTCTGTGAGGGTTACGAGCTATCGCTTGGCACCAGCCCAACATTTTCTCCTTCCACTTATCCCTTCTCAATTTCTGAAATTCTGAAAATAATTTAGATTCCCTGAAACATTGACACTTTGAATTTATTGTGTGCATGTCTCTGGATGCATGCCTTTAAAAATAGCTTTTTAAGTTATATCTAAACAAGCTAATAAACATATTTTTAGAAGAACATGCTTATTTAAAAAGTACTCTGAAAGGTTATACCACGCAGGTTAGAAAAGAACTATGCTCTTTCAGCACACCTTACATGCACTAATACTATTTCAGAGTCAGCAAACTCAGTGCCTTCTCTCCATGTTAAATCTTTCTCAAGTTGTCACTTTAACTAAAAAAAGTGTTATCCTAAAGGAATTTTATTACAAAATAACTGTGAGACCAGCAGCATTCCTAAAACCATATAACATTTGAATGCAATACCGCATATTCCCTAAAACAACCAGTAACAGCCCTAAAGCAGTAGTGGATATTAAATACAAATCAATAGTGTGATCACACACAAATGTGTACGTACTCATGCCCCCAGACCAGAACACCTGGCTTGTCTTAAGTGTACACTTTACAATACAGAAGCATTGTAAAGTGTACACTTTACAATACAGAAACATCGTAAATAGCAAAAAGTAATGGACACATACCACCAATAAATGCTATGTGCCAACTGTAAGTTGCATGTGAACTGATTTTTAGTTTGTAACAGTAACAAAATATCTTTTAAGTAACACTAACACATTCTGGAAATACAGCACTAGTAAAGTGGTTTTTAAGTTTAAGAAAACTTCATAAATATTTCTGGTTTCACAATCTACTTCTCTCCGTTGAAATAGGTAATGTAGGTATTCAGTGCAAAACTTTGCTAATTAATTAGAAAAAAATAACTTTGAGCAATTTTTTTTCTCCATGACATCTGAGGCAATTTATAATCTCGTTGTTTATAACATGTCAATGGTTGGACTTGATGATCTTAAAGGAGTATTCCAACCTAATGATTCTGATATTTTAATTTAAAATGTGTAACTCTAACATCATGAGACATCATAAACAACAAGATTAACCCACCAGATTAAGTGCCTAGTACTCACTAGACTGAATAGATTTGGAACATACATACAATAATGCTAAAGACCTTACACAGTAAAGTAGCACCTATTTAATGTCAGTTAATATTTTGTACTTGTAAAGTAGGTTTATTTTTTCTGCAGTATATCTCCACACAATACACAAGACATGCTTGTGTTTACAGCAGGCTTTCATCTTCCCACATTCTGATTCTGAGAAACTACAGTCCCTTCTTGAACAACTACAGCTCTACGATTTCTAAACCTACCATTAATATATAATGTTCAAAGTATGAAACGCATGAAGCTGTATTTCTCAACACAACCTCATGGAACTGATAGTAAGGAATAAGTGGGCTAGCCTTAGCTTTATTATACTGGAGATGATTAGATGACTGAGTGTACAGGTGAACTAATTCTTATTAACTTTTCAGTCTCTTGAAAACTTAACATAAGATAAAAACACAAGCCAGTAAAGCATTAGTAGCATGAAGACTGCCACACAGCCTATTGACTGTCTGTGGAGTCAAATCCATTTTTCCATCATAAAAGATTGCAGTTGTAGACTTACAGGAACTTGGTCCTTCAGGGCATGAATACAACCCAGCAAAGGCTTCACCATGAAAAATCCAACTGAAGCACCAATTAAACTCATTGTCACCAACTTATGATTTCCACTGGATTAGAGCATCCACCATCTTGCAAGCTCCCCAAGACTTTATTTTCCTTAGTTTTGTCAATGCAATTAGCAGGACTTTACATACCAAACTGGTTGTTTTTAAGAGTAAAGGAAATAGCAAAGAACAGTTTATGCATTTAAGCAATCTGTACACAGATACAAAAAATTAAACCATGTTTTAAGTGCTTTTCATTGTATATCCAAGATATCATGAAGTACTTGTGAGTGAAACTGGAGAATCAGAATTATCAGAAAGAGAAGCATATGCACGTGTCCTCCTCTGCAACTTGGAAAGACAAGCACTTAATATGAGACAATCAATTAGAATTTTGGGGTTTTTTTCAAGGTTCTACTACATAATTTCTACATCATGTGCTGAAATATTATTTACCAACTAAACAGGACTGAAACAACAGTGGAGTCTGACTTCTAATTAAACTAGTCCCCATCCCATCTACCACTTTTTAAACAGAAGCACATAAAATCTTCTGAGAAAGTAAAATGTCTTTTCAAAACTATTCTGGCGTCTCTGGAATCTCCTGTTTGTCATTCAAAATTTCAAGTAGAAAGTGTTTCAGTATTATTTAGACTTTTCAAAATGAGACAAACCATTTCTTTCTGCTGCTCTGGAAGTGGTTCTCTATTTTGGTAAAATCAACCAGTAACTCTTTAGTAAAACATTTTACTACGCACAGGACTTACGGGCAGATTTCATTTATTATGATTGCTGAACTGCATTCTCCCATGATCAGTAAGTTATTGCTGTTCATTTTTTGTGCAGATACCTGGAAACTAGAGATTAATGCTGTCTAGAGAAAAAAAAAAATCCTTAAAAAATAGAAAAACACAAAATGCATATTTGGAATAAATGTAATAAATTTTGAAGTCTTCCCCAGAATACTATACAAAGATTACACACCAGAGGAATGTACATACACATTTTTGGCTTGCTATGTCTGAAAAGATCCTAGACTTCATGTTTCTCTGAATGTACATCATGAAAAAGTTTGCTACACATTCACTGGTGCAGCTCACTGCTTGGGAGCCCTTTTTACTGCTTTGGTTCTTTGTGAACTTGAAAAAAAAAAAAGCATATAACTTTTAAGAAAGTCTTCACTCTGATTTCAAATTAATAGTTCAATCATTACTTAAAAGATACTCTCTCCAGAACACTGTTCAGATGGAAAACTTTCTGACCATTTTCCCAAGACTGGACAAGAATATCCAATCTTTCTACTCCTAAAAAAAAAAAAAAAACAAAAAAAACAAAAAAACCAACAACCCCAAACTTCAACCTTTAAATAATTACTGTTACACTTCCTTCTCTGGACCAAATGCACACAAACATGTTTTTGCAAAGGCAGTAAAATTAACCTAGTATCTTTAAGGTAAGTGGTTCAAAAGATACCCTAGGAATAAAACATATGGTTCCCAAGTTCCTAGAGCTCTAAGGTCAGATTAAAAGTCTGCTATGCCTACTGATGAGCAGCTGCTCACACGAGTAGTTAGCTGAAGCTTCCTTTTGAACCATCACACTCTTGATCACTTCTTAAGAGGGAAAGCATCAGGTCTTCAGTGGTGACCCTTTCTAATTTTCTATTACTTCTGATGAATTATTGTATTATCATTATTTTAGGCTTGTATTTTAATACAGCTTTGTGTCAGGCTACTTTCTTTGTTTCTGATTGTTTACCAAATTTTCAAGAAAACTTTTAGTGGAAATAAGCCTATATTGCTGCAGTGTTTCAGTGTACAGTGAATTCTTCTAGGGATGTGTTTAGTGTACAGAAGTAATGCAAAGTCCATCATCTCGAGAGACATACACTCCTCACACTTGGGGTGGATATAAGCCAAATCAACCTGAGAATACAACTCTACACATCACATATAAGCATACAACGTGTTATACTACACAATTTGAGTTTGATCTTAGATGAAGTGAAAAAAAAAAACTTAGTCTAGTGAATACTCTACAAAATAACTCTGCACAGCTGGATACTCCTGGTACTCAGAACTTAACAAAGAACCATAAACCCCAGACAACAGCCGTAGTTCAGTATGACAAAGGCAATTATTTGAAGTCATTATATTATGAGTTTCTACACAGTCGAGACAGGTATATGGCATTTTAACAGTTTGCAGCAGATCCTTGATAATGTCAGCTGGCAAGAAGTCTAGGTTCTCAAAGTTTTACAGCCTTTTAAAAACATGTCAGTTTAGAGCTCCACAGAGTCTACCTGCGCCACAGGTGTAGTGAAGAGTGGATGCCCAAGATCAGTGCGTGCCATCTACCTGCGGCAACAGCCCTCCAAGGATCTGCAAGGAGACCATTCCAAAGAGTGATACCACCATCACCCCTCAGTAAGTGATCAACCAATCCTTTCTACACTGCCTGTACCTGTGAAAATAGGGAATCATCTGATTATAGCTACAGTCCTATTCTGTTCCTCTTGGGGTGCAGAACCTCTTGGAACATTTGCAATTCTTCTTTCTTTGCCCTAAGGAATCAAAATTATGACTACCACTGTACAGATCACAACTGAAAGGAGGACTTTGCAATTGCTCACACAATTGAAGAACCACCACCTCAAATAAATTCCCTGAAAAAAAAAAAAACACAACCTTAATTCATCCCTTACAAATTTGTTTAAAAATAAAAGAATTACTTTATTCAGACCTTTTCAGGGAAGACAATTTTTACTTATAATTTAGGCAAGCAAAGGGACATACAGAATTACAGATTCAAGTACATCTTGCACAATATTAATACCAAATAAGTAGGGGTTTAGTTAAGGATGATGTATTAAAAATTAGCCAGTTATATGAAATAAAAGCATAATGTCTCCAAAAAAAGTTCATTAATCTAGCGAGAGAAAAGAATTGGTAAGCTTAATTCAGGAACATAATTAGATTCAGGTAACAAAAGCCTCAATAAAGGCTGAATTAAGATGAAGTACATGAGAAGGTTATGCTTTTTCAGTCCTTACCAGGATCTAACAGCTACCAAAGAACTGCAGGAAATCGAACACAAAACATACTGTTCTTTATCTGAGCTAAATAGTTTTGTTCTCTGTGTTTGAAGATTCCCAACAGCAATCAAAGTGATGGTATTTGTCCAACAACTAAACCCACTGCATGACTTGGCAGATCATCAAAATATTCCAGGAGTAGAGCTGCAGGAATAATGAAATGCAAATAACCTCCAATTGCTGAGCTCTGGTAAGAGAAATACAGTCCCTGTTGTTCTTCATATATCTCTTGTCTGA